TAAATATTGCTGGAACTGGGCAGTGGAAAATTTCCCTCAGAATGTGCATGCATGGTAGAATGACTTGGAGTCCATTCAGCAATGGGAAATAAAGCAGGATAGAAGAGAACCACTCTGGTTCTCAAAATGCTAGAGGTTTGCAAGCAAGCCTCTGCTGAGAAGATGGGCTCACCTCTTATAGAAAGAGTGGTCAGTGTCAATTTACACACACAAAAAGCCATTATGCAGCTCAGAGAGGCACTGGGTCAGCTTTTGGTAACACAAGCCAGTTTGTAACTAAGTGGGATTAAAGGATTATATTTCATTTATCATCCAATTGTCTATTGGCTTTTCTTGTCAAGCATTATGCAAGTCTTATTACTATAATACTGAGAGAAGTTGAACTTGGCCTTCTTAAAATACACTATTCTCGACTTCTCTGAAAAGGAAAAGATACCAATACCTGAAGAAGACCATTGAAATCTAAAAATACTGTGTGTAGGCACACACCAAGAAAACATAATCCAGCTAGTCACACAATAAAGAATCTGTGATGGCTCTCACACCCCAGTGCCCAGGGACACTTTCGTGTTTGCCTCTCAGTATTGTTCTAGTTATTTTTTTTCTAACTAGAGCAGATTTTTAAATGGCCACAAATTCCTTGATCCTTCCTGTTCTGAGATGGAACACTTTGTCCCCTCTCCTTGGATCTGAGTAGCCGCTGTAACCACTCTGATCAGCCGAATGTTATAGGGATACTGGGCTGAGCTAAGATGAACCCTTAGGAGACTGTATTTAATCATATAGGTACAATGTGAGAACTCATATCCTTCCAGAAAAGAGCTCATGACAAAGGCCCTGTACCAAGTAGAAAGGAAGAATTGGCCAAGTCTCTCCTACTCACCCCTGCTGAAAGATCAGCCACCCATCAGATGAATGCTACCTACTAGCCACCATTTGAAGTCACCATGTGTAGGGTCATTTTATTTTGCAGTAATAGATAACAAAACCTGGCCTAGAAGAAGAGTGGCAATTTCTTTCAACTGCATTGGGTCTGCCTCTTGCTTCTACAAAGTTTGAATGGAGTCCAAGAGTTACCATGGTTTACATGGCTACTTAAAGGCATAGTTGAATAGTTTTACAAAGGACACCAGTAGCCTCAACAAACCCAAATTAGTTATGATCTGGCCCTTTACTAGAAAGTTTGACCCTTCTAGTAAAAGCCTTACCCATGGAACCCACTATTCTCTTTTCTGGAGAATATGCAGTGTGGTGGCTGGTTTATGTCAACTAGACACAACTAGAGTCATTTGGGAAGTGGGAACCTCAACTAAGGAAATGTCTCCATAAATTTTCTTGACTAATGATGGACGAGGAAAGCCCACCTCACTGTGGGCAGTACTACCCCTGTGTTGGTGGTTCTGGGTGCTATAAGAAAGCAGGCTTAGAAAGGAACAATCCAGCAAGCAGAGTTCCTCTGACTTCTGCTTTAGTTCATTCTCCCAGGTTTCTGGCTTGATTTCCTGCCCTGACTTGCCTGATGATAGGGACAAGCTTATGATGAAATAAACCCTTTCTTTCCCAAGTGGCTTTTGGTCACAGTGTTTTATTACACCAGCAAAAAACCCTAACATATGTAGTAACTAACCTACTGCCATTTACCATGCAGAGCAGTGGTTCTAAACCTTCCTAATGCTGTGACCCTTTTATAAAGTTCCTCATGTTGTGACCCCAATTTTGCTATTATGAATTGTAATGTAAACATTTGTATTTTCCAGTGGTCTTAGGCAACCCTTGGTGAACAGGTCATTTGTCTCTCCCAAAGGGGTTGTGACCCATGGGTTGAGAACCACTGATCTAGATAGTCTCCCTGGATTAAGACAGAGAGATATGCTATCATTGCCCAAGGCATCTGGCCTTTGGAAAAGGAGTTCACCTTTTCTTGGTCTCAGTTCCCTCACTTGTAAAATGAGAAGACTGAAACAGAACTGTATTTCCCTTTAAGTGTTCCATGAAACATTAAACCCTGTTCTGTGGGGGAAAAAGACCTGCAGACACATTACTGAGAAGCTTGAGATACCCACCAACCTACTGGAGATACAAAGAGCATGTTAGCAAAATTGGGCTTCTGAGCAAAGAAACCCGATGACCTGTGTTACATTAGCATCTTTTCAAACATCTTTGGATCCAGCATTCTTTTCTCCATATCAGCTGACATCATTCCTCAGAATCCAATAGTAAGGGACATTCTACAGGAAACTCTACGTGCTCCTCCTTTGCTCAGATAGTCCCTGGAACTAGAATCATCGTTCTAGGTACAGAAAGTTAATTTTTCTTCAGTGTCCTTTGAGAGGTCCTTTTCCAAGACGAATTTTCTATAATATCACTGCTAGTGCAATCTGCTGAGTTTGCAGAATGAAGACACAGAGGTCAAGTAAGCGAGCTGCAGATTCTCCTAAAGGACCTAAAATGATAACCAGTCTCTGGGTGACAATGATAATTATGGTCTTAAAGAAAAAGGGATATGGTCAAACATATTTTTAAACTGCTCCAAGATTTTGTAATCTGAAAATTTCTTCATGTGGGCCAAAATAGAATGCATGATTCTTTCCCAGAATGACAAATTCTGTGCACACAACATCACGTTTAGAAAAGTACAAGGTAACTTTATTTATTCAGACTGCTTGTTGACGATGCCAGGCTATCTGACCAATTATTCAAAACAAAGATGTGTCTGTCCTGCTAATATGATAGTAGAGGGCTGTCCTCCCAGTACCCTGGCAGGTGACTATTATGAACCTGGGTGCAAGCCCACAGTGTTGCTTATAAGTAAGTATGTATATGTGCCTATTTTGGGCTCCACCTATCTCAGAGGTAGCAATACACCACTGCATAGGCTCCTTGTGATCATCCTAGCACAAAGAAAGACATTCTAAAGAGACTCTTGTAACCTTCTCATGGTGTATCAGACTAATAAACAATGGACTCCAAGGTATTGGTACTTCCTCGGGAATCTTTTGCTGGCAGAGGAAAAGACTGAAGCCCTGGTATCAGAGGAAGAACTTGTCCTGTAAGAGGAGGTTTTCCACAGATGGCAGCTTATAGGACAGATGGCAATGATGATATGTCAACAATGGGCAGGGCTACACCGTGACCAGGAACCCTTGCCCCTTACTTAAGTCTAAACTTCATGCCAGTGTCCTAAAGGTGGATTTCATAGGGAGCCATTGATCTCATCGTTCTTGTTCCCAGTGTGGTCACACTGAATCGTCTTCCTCTGTTTTTCATGACTTGTTTCTTTAGCTGGCATGCTGAGGATAAGTGCTGGGGCCTTGCTTGTTAGGGCAGCTGAAGCCCAGACTTTGACTCTAAAACTTCAGTAATGTCCTCAGCAGCTCAAACACCTCAATTTTAACAGGACATAAATTATTTTCTCTAGTAATTATTTGGACCAAGGGTTAATAAATTTACATAAAGAGAAAAGATGTTTTCTCCAACAAATCTCTTATATTTCCATTTTTAGTGACTGCTTCCAAAAATGCCATACCAATTATAATGACCATTATAAGGTTTTCCTAAAAAGTAGAAAGAATAGCATAGTTCCTGGCTTTTAGTAGCTGTCCAGTAAAGATTATTTCTCTTAAACTATGCAGCATTACACAGCCAGGAGTTGGATGACATATTCTTTTGTAGTTTCTCAGTGTTTTACCAAAGATTCCATTCTGCAAGTGACTTCCTTAGTAGGCAATGTGGCATTAATGTCTTAACATTTCTTAACATAGATCTCTGGATAAATCTCCAGGGTAGTAACCTGATAACTCTGTGTGTGTCGGGGGTGGGGGGCGGTAGAGGGCTGTACTTGGGAGAAGAAACTGTTTTGAAGCCAGATAGATCCACTTCTAATCTCAACTTGCCAAATGATCTCAGCAAAATCATTGATCAGCTGTTTTCAGTTGCCCCATCTATAAAGTGGGACTTAGGCTGTACTTTACAAACTCATAGCAAGGATTACAGACAATCTGTCGAAGGCATCTAGGAAGCTGCCTTGCCCATGTTAAATATCTAATGAAAGGATGTATCACTGTTCTCACTTTTCTTGCCTGTACAACCTTTCATTCACTCACCACACCCGCTACCCATATTTACTATGAACCTACTATGACAGGGAAGTACAATACAACAGTGAACTCAAGATAGACATCTTCACAGAGTCTAGCAGACTAGATGTGACATAGCACAAGAGTGTACTGACAGCATGTATCACGTGCCAGGCACTATTCTCAGAATTTTTCTGCATATGCACACATGTGCTTCTTGAATTTTTACCCCAACACTGTGCAGCAGGCATCTTGCTCAGGTTTATTTAGCTCATGTGTGCTTTGAACAGCCATGCTGTGTCACCTCTCCAAGTACAGTTTTTCACTCCTCTTCGTTGATCCCTTCATTTGTTATAAACATAGAGACCAGTTTTGACCTTCAACATTATACTCTTCGATGCCCACCAGAATCTTCTAGAAGAAAAGCTAAAAAAAGCCAAACTGGTACATTTTATTTTGCTCTTTGCTTACAAGTGTTCCATGACTGGATATGGTGCCTGAGTGCTGGCAAGGTAAGTAAGGAAGTAGGAAGACACCATCCTGTCCTGGAAGCCTGAGCCCACCCAACGTAACAACAGCATTTCGCTCTAAGAAATCACTCACCATCACCACCATCTCAACCTTCCTAATGCTGCGACCCTTTAGTACAGTTCCTCAGATTGTGGTGACCCCAACCATAACAACATTTTCATTGCTACTTCATAACTGTACTTTTCCTACTGTTAGGAATCACAATGTAAATATCTGTATTTTCCCATAGTCTCAGGTGACCTCTGTGAAAGGGTCATTTGACCCACAGAGGGGTCATGACCCACAGGTTGAGAACCACTGCTATAGAATAAAAGCCATCATGCTAATATTGAAAGGAAAACCCCCCTCTTGTTAGTAGTCATCAATGATTAAGAGAGAGAAGATTTTACTTACAGGTGGGCACTGGGCCAGTTTATCGGCTGCCACCAGTTGAACATTCAAGTGTTTGCTTTGAGACTTTCCTCTGGACTTAATCAGCCGCTGTAAAACCTGACAAAGGATGACAGGAGCCCAAGTCATCGTCAATGAGTTGAAAGAAAACCAAACACACAGAGATCTTTTACTACAGCTTATGTAACTCTGAGGATTAGTAAGGAGGGCCTACAATGTGACAAACTGCACACTTAGAATCTCTGTGGTGATGCCACCCACCTCACTGTGGGCACAGAGAGGACTGGACATGTCCATACTGTCCTAGCTCCCTGTGGGGTCCTTCTGACAGCCCCACTTCCCACCTAAACTTTTAAGACTCTTGAGGACTTCACATCCTCCTGTTAAAGGGAAAGAGAAGCTCTGTCCCTGCTTATGTTGAGTCAATATTTTGATATTATTCAGTTCACTAATATTTAGGTTCAGTATCTCCAAGCCAGATAAATATCAAGATCACTTATGTATGTCATTTTTCAATAATTAATGAGATATTTGGTTTAATTTTATATTAAAGTGTTTCAGGACTGGAAACCTAAGTAAAACATTTTTGTTGGAACATTGCTACGAAGAAAACAGACTATATTTTTACCTTTGGTAAAGCTGCATTTGGCCATATGCTTTCTCTTGCATTATTTTTGTTTAGGATGAAGCAGGGCCCTCTCCAATGGTGCTACTTCATGAAGTTCTGCTACCTTAGTACACAGGTCCATGCAAGCCCCTGATCCTCCGCCTCCAGACACCGCAGCAATGGGGCAGTAAAGGAGGGGGTGACCTTAGCCCCACTGCAGAAGATGCTTTGTACCCCAGCAGCTAGAGTCAAGGACACTTCCAGTTGTTGAGGCAATGCAGGTCTATTCTATTCACACCCCAGAATTCACTGATAGTGGTTGGAATCCCCACAATTACTGTATAGAAGCGGCCCCTACAAGATGGTGAGAACTTGAGAAGTGTAACAAGCCACAGCTTCTGTAGACTTTTCTCTAACCACTGAAGGGACCAGTGTTTTGGGTGGGGAATTGAGTTTGCTCTTAGTTAAACCAAATACATTCTAGGAGGCACTAAAAAGGAATTGCTAAGATAATGCCTCTCGGTGGATTGAGGGGAAGGTGCAGAGGGGAGGGGAGGAGAGGGGAGGGGATGGGAAGAGAGGAGGGACGGGAATCTGCAGTGAAATAAAACAATGCCTCTCATGGGTATCTATTTCATATTTACTTTCATATGCACAAATGACAAGGTGTGCAGCATTTCTGTTAGAGATGTTTACACAGTGATCTTTTACCTTACATAAGTTATCTTGCTGAACTATGTACTTTGTCTCTCAACTGGGCAGAGACTATAGGTGACTTGAGAATCAATATTCTACAGGAAATTTGCCAAGTGGGACTATACAGCCTACTCAAGGCCAGGGTCCATGTTTTGTTTTCCTTTCTTGCATTCTTGTTTGTATTTTATCATCTCTGACTGCAGGCAGGAGCCTCCCGAAGAGATGGATTATTGTTCTCAGCTATCCTCAAAACCTTAGAACTTGAGTACTGTTTTAAATGCATTCATTAACTGCTTCTTGAGACATTCTCCTGCCCACAAACTAAAAGGGCAGCTCTAGAGAACCTTAAGAAGGAAGCTTCTAGACCCATAGACAGGAACACAGTGATTACCTTTGGAGATGAGACTTTCACATGAACAATGATGGGGGCTAAGGATGTTTTTATAAGCTGTGCTGGGTGATTGATGGTGTCTGCATCAAGAACAACCAGTTGCAAAGATCTTGCCAATTCAAAAATTCTTTCAATTTCACTCTGTACTTCCGCTAAAAGGGGAAACAATAAATGGCAGGTACTGGTTAGTCTCAATAATTATTATTTATACTAAAAAGAAATAGTATAAGCTCATATGTGAGTGTCCATACTATAGAACATGTCTAGCAAAGTCTTTTTTCATTTTTTTGAGGCATAGTCTATTATGTAGCCCTGGCTAGCCTGGAACTTGTTACAGGCTGGCTGCCTCTGGTTCCCAAGGGCTAGGATTAAAGATGTGCACCACACAATGTCTGCTCTTTTTAAAATCTTTTCTGAAGATTAAATTGGTCAGAGAATAAAATAATTGGTATAAGAACTTGAGCCAGATCTCTTGGTTTGCTTCGCACACCCAGCCTAGCATGGAACTATTTATATGGCTATAGTATTCCATTTGGGGGTTGCTTTTAACAAGAATGACATTTAGCAAACAAATTCAAGAGACTGAAAGTGACACTGAAGTATTTCTATCAATAACTTATATTTTAATATTCTATAGACCATGTTTAGAAGAAAGAAAACCACCCAACAACTGTATTGATTTGACTGTTATACACATTTTTGTATCCTCGCTAATTGTTATGAGTGTCCTCAGATAACCAGTAGATTACCAAGTCTATCTGAATTTTAGCTTTAGAGTTGGTGGAGTGGTCTAAGGTATATTTACCAAAAGTATCACACATGCACACACAGGCATGCATGCACACGCATGCTTACATGCACACAAAGCTGATCATATTAAAATGCTGCACTGCATCTTGATTCAAACCTAGCTGGCTGAATGTAATAATCAGATGACTCAAATCTGCATCTTCTAAATTGGTCAGATAAAAATGCTAGTTCTTTTCATGAGTCTGAAACAATCCAGCTACTTTCATTTATTCTGGGACAGAGCCTTGCTATGCAGCCCAAGCTGGTTGTGAGACCCCTGCTTCCATTCCACTTCCCAAGTACTGTGATGACAGTTGTGTGCTACTGTGCATGACTTACAAGCTCTCCTTCTGTGCGTGCACGTGTGTGTGTGTGTGTGTGTGTGTGTGTGTGTGTGTGTGTGTGTGTTTGAAAACACATGACCAAAGTACATGTTTTTCTGGACTACAAAAGGCCTTTAAGTTGGGTGTGGTGGTGCTGGAATCCCAATACTTGGAACACTGAGGCAGAAGCACCATGACTTCAAGGTCATCCTAGGAAACACAGAGAGTTTCAGCCCATACTGCATTCTGTATTGTTCTGTATTGATTCTGTCTCTCTGTCTATCTCTGTCTCTCTGTCTCTGTCTGTCTGTCTGTCTGTCTTGTCTGTCTGCCTGCCTGCCTGTCTGTCTGTCTGTCTGTCTGTCTGTCTCCCCTCTCTCTCCCCCCCCCCCCCCCCCCCCCCCACACACACACACACACACACACACACACACACACACAAAGAAAAAAAAACAAGAACAACAACAAAAGTCCTTTATATACTTTATGAATCACCTAATGTAGTGGGTCGTGCCTAAAATCTGAATTAGATTCTACTAAGGGGAAGACTTTGCATAAAAGTAGAAGTTTCTCATTTCTTATAGAATCATTGACATTTAATGCATGATCTACACTAAAAAGCATGAATTAGAGTACTTGCTGCTCTTCCAAGGGACCAAGCTCCATTCTAGCATCCACATTGGACAGCTCATAATCACCAGTACCCTAACTCCCTAACTCTTGGGGGCAAGACAACCTTGATGGCCTTCTCAGGCATCCCTATATATATGGAGTGTGCACATGAGCGTGTACACAGACACACACACACACACACACCTTTAAAAATGTAAGTTTAAGGAGTCAAAATGCATATCGCCTTCACATTATCTATCAGCAATGTCCTGAAAGACTCCACATTGATTTTCCAGTGACCAAATTCTTATGAAACACTAGTCTAATTTGTTAGTAATAATCAACATATTCATTTTCTCTAGTATGTCAGAAACAGTTTAAAAAGAAATTTTTCTCAAGAAGGGCATTTAGAATATAAAGCCAGTTTTCACTGCAGCCAGTGTCAGCAGAAGGAAGGTGCGGTAGGTCCTCTATTTATACTTTAGTCTGCCGAAGTTTTAAAGGAGCTTCTAGAAAAAACCACGGCAGAACAGCTTTTAACATTTTAGTTTCCAGTCTCACATAGTACTATCAAACAATGCCAAGTAACATTCAGCATTTTTCTCAAGGAGCAAAAAGATGGCAATACAAGCTGGACTGGGACAGCACAAGAACCCCCACAGGGCACTCCAAATAGCTGAGAGATTCCTGGGTTTGTTTGCTCTGCACCAGCAATGAGCTGGCACATGAGTTCATACCCACTGCTGAAACAACAGAAAGCCCTGGGGCATCAGCACTGCAGCATAAGCAGCAGTGGAGCTTGGGGAGATTGGACGGAGCTGAATTACACAGCGGGTTGAGCCCAGTGTTTAGAAAATATGCACAGGGAAGGTGATAAGCAAATTACAGGCACAAGGAAGACAAAGGCATTTTTTATCTACCTAGCTCATTTTCTTGGAGAAAACCAACAATCTTGGCTACTCAGACAGGTTTCTAGGGGGCTTCTAATGGAAGCTTCTTCATAAATCTGTTACAGGCGAGCAAAGTTGGAACAGTAATAGACTCTGGTGCTGGAGGCCCTAAACAAATACTCTTTATCACTAAACTGGAGATGGTGACTGGTCATGCTCCCTGTGCCCAAGTTGGCTCTGGTGTTTGTAATTTGAGACTAGGTCTTACGTAGTCCAGGCTGGCCTTGAACTCCTGATCCTCTTGACCCCATTTCCCATGTGCTGGGATTATAGCTAAGCATACCCTCACTCAGCTTCCAAAACTATTATTATTTTTTCCATGGGCTCAAGGAAACATCTCCCAAAGTGACTCACTTTATTCATACCCCAACCCACCTACAACCTTTGATTTTCCCTTATGGGAGGAATTTAACATGTTTTCTAAAAAGTACTTGGAAAAGACAGGTTTAAGTTCCTTGCATGTTCACCATGGTCGTCACCATTACTGCTTACAGTGTGATGCTTCTGGGTACACCAATTGGGCACACAAGAGCATCATTGCCTTGCCCTTCTAAATATCTCATTTCCTTTCATGTCACCTATGTGTCAGCTGTGACAGAAGCCTTATTGTGATATTCAGGGAAAAGGAAATGGGTGGTTTCTCATGGTTCAGCAGCAACTGAATAGCAGACTCTGAGAAGACCTTTTCCCACCAGACTGCTGCTTAGCTAATAGATTAGATCGGAGAGAAGGAGAACGCGTGTGGGGTCGGGGGGGGGGGGGGGGGTGGTGTTGGCTGCTACAGACTCTGTCCTTCTCGGGTCCATTGGCTGGTTTTCTCTACAGATATTCAACACATTTCCATGCAGATCAAGACATTCCCTACACACACACTCCATGCCTGTATGAAAATGTCTTACCTAAGCTGGATCTGGTGTTTGAACGTTCAATTATTGCTCTCTTGCTGGGATTGTTGAGGACAGACCTCTTAGCAAGAGAAATGTCAGCTGTCACTCTTGTTATTGATATCCTAGGAAGAGGAACACAGAACAGAACAAGCCAGTAAAAACATTATGTGGCTCTCTGAGGGACTTATAACCGAAGTGCCTAAAAGCCACTTTATAGACTACCATGGAACCACTGTATAGTAAACGTCGGCCACAAGGATTTTCAAAAGACTCTGGCTCATATTAAAACACAAACAGGGTGAATGATGGCAGGCTTTGGCTCCTTAGCTGAAAGCCACTCCAGTGAAAATGTATTCCCTCCACTATGACCTGCCTAGCCAAGTTGCCTGTAAAACACACACACACAAACACCACACCAGGAGGGAATAAAAACATGAATTAGCCGTGCTCTTTCTAGGAAATAGCTTTACAGTTTCCTCAGAATTCACAGTTGATTTGCTCTTGAACAAGACCTTCAGGACCCACAAGTGCTCTGCCCCAGCATTGCTGGCCAAAAAGGGAATGCTTCATTTGGTCACAGAAAAAAAAAACAAATAAATAACCAGTCAGTAGTTACGTTTCGTTTCTTGGCTTAGTAGTTAATCCCTCGTACATGAAGCTTTTCTCCACAGGCCCAAGGAGCTTTGCCAGTAAGGGTGTGAGAAACAAGGTCTGTTTTTTTTTGTTTTGTTTTGTTTTGTTTTGTTTTGTTTTTGTTTTGTTTTGTTTTGTTTTTCCAGGCACAGGAACCTCACTGCATTTACACAGGATCCGAGCACATCTGGTGGGCACTTGAAACCCCAGTAGCTGAAGTCAGTATGAGCATGAGACTGGAGTTTGGTAAGTTAGAACACACCTTGCAGTCCCAGTAGAATAGAACATAGACTTTGTATGGAAAGAGGGAGGCAACCAGAAGATGCATTATCAAATGAAAACACATAGACTTAAAGTAATTTTCAACTGAGACTGCTCAGTTCCCAGCTATTGTCTGTAGAACTCAAAGCTGGTCCACCCAGGCCAATTATAGAAATCCACGGGCCTTCCCTTCCCTCATCCGTGCAGCTTGGTTGAGTTCAGAAAGGAGAAAAATCACTTCCCCTTATCCCCAGAGTAGACTTACTCTTCTCCAGGTCAAACTCCTTTGGTGATTGGAATACAGAAGGAAGCGTATATTTAATTCTGGTCCTCTCACTCCTGTGTCAGGACATTTAAGTACAGTCGGAGACATACGTGACCAGAAGCTTTGGGAAGAACCCCAAATTATCCTTTTCATGAATGCTTAGAAACAAAAATAATTTTTTTAGACAGGGTCTCACTATGTGTATCTGGATAACTTTGAATTCATAATCCTCCTGTCTCAGGCTCTCTTGTATTGGAACCATCAGGACCCACTACTGTGCCCAGCTTATAAGTCATGTCTTTAAAGCAACAGGGTGTGCAGGTGTTCCAGCAGGGTTCTGAAGCCAAGTGGTACTGGCCTGGGCTATGGCATTTATGAGCTGCAGGTACTTGGAACACTGCAGCGTTTTAACGTTTCGAATTTTCATGCCTTGATGATTACTCAAGGAAGCCTCAAATTATCCTGCATAGAGTCAAACGCTGTGCGGAGATTCCCAGGCCCACTGTGAACGCTAACATGGGTGGTCCTCCAGCTTGTTCCTCTGAATTTCTGTCCTCTATGTGGAGCTCCCTCATGATTTCATTGTTGTTAAAGACAAAGAAAGGGAAAAAAAAAAAGGCAAAAAGGAAAGTTCAACTTCTAAATGACACCTGAAAATACTGGTGTAACAACTTCTACATATTACCTAGAAGGAAACTGAGACACAGATATAATCCACTGGTTTATTCCAGGCAATGATGGTCTGTCTAAGAGGCTTTGAACACAGGATGAGGCCTAGTTATGTAGCTGGACAATTCTCTTTCAGTTTAGTTTTGTTTCCCAGTAACAACATGGGTTCAAAGCAGGTTTAAATCAAGAGTGCCCACAACAGAGTTTCCACTGCAGCTTTTTTCTTTGTTCTTTTAGCACAGACTCATTCCATAGCCCAGGCTGGCCAAATGCTAGAAGCAGCCCATCTGCCTTAGCCTCCTGAGTGCTGGTGTTAGCTGCCATGCCCTACTCAGGCAGCTCTAAGATGCAATGTCTTCCAGGCAGCACTCTTTCCTTACAGAACAGGCTCTCCTGTTTAACTGGGGCTCTGGGTTTCTTGTTTGTTAAAGAATGGAGCATCTGGATAGAACCATCCTGTCACTCTAGAACAATCCATGTATATGGCTACAAACAAGTGGGCCCACTCAAGGACGGTATCCAACTTTCCAGAAATGACTTCTGCCGTGCCAGAATTTCCTAGTTCTTCAGAAGCCAAATAGTAACTCCTGGTTCTTACATTTTGGAGAAATCATCGACACATGTTTTCCCTGGGTCATAAAATCACTTTTACAAAGCCATGTAAATACAACCGATTTTTAACATAATCAGAAAAGGCTGCTTTAAATGTTAGAAACAGAGAAAACGCTGTGGGTGACAAAGTGTTCTTTTTCTCATTTTATTTTCTAATAAAAAAAGACTCCATTGATAATACATATTGTCTGTTAGCAAAATACATACACACGAGTAGAGTCCAGGAAGGGGCTGGCTCAGCTCTAGAAGTCTGACAGTGAGACGTAGAAGGCTTTCTTCTGTTGTAAGGCTTACTGTTATCAAACCTCAATTCCTTTCCTCTGAAATAAAAGGCCCCTCAGCGAAGTGACTGCATTCACCAGCCAGTGTTTCCTGATTTATTATGCTTTTAAACTAATGGTACATTTCCTACCTTTCTTGCTTTTCTCATCCACCTGGGCCTCCAGCAATCCTGTGCACCTTGATAACTTCTTCAAAGTGTTCCCTTGGCAACCTCACCAAGGCAGTGCCAGTAGATAGAGGCCAACAGGAGTTCAGTTCTCACCAAAACAGGGCGTAGCAGCTAATGTCCCTGAAACCCAGCAAAAACCATTCCCTAAATCCACTAAGTCTGCACTCTAACTCCTACATGTTTCTAACTCAGGATTCATCTTAGTTGGTGACATTATTAGTTTTCTGGGGATTTTCTTAATTTTTTCTACATTTTTATTTATATGAGGGGAGCAGTAGGCATGCACATGCCAAAGTATGTTAGTAGAGGTCAGAAGACAACTTGTAGGAGTCTGTTCTCTCCACTCACCATGTGAGGCTGGGGAGAAAACTCGGGACACCAGGCTTGGTGGAAGATGCCCTGTTTGCAGAACTACTTCTTCTGCCCTCCTGCAGAGTTTCTATATCAAGATATTTCTTTCAGTTGTGACACATCCATTCAAAAATAATTAGTATTCCCATGTTGCTAATGGAATGACTGGAAGATCTGTTTCTATTCTGGCTAATTAGTAAGAAGCCCAATTCAGCATAATACATATTTCTAAATTCCTAGTGCTCACAGGCAAAGTGTTCCAAAGCAGATGAGCAGGGCGGAAGGAACTGGAAGACCCTAGGGTCCCCTCTAGCTTTCTTTGGTTTTCATGCTCAAGTACAAGTTATAGCATTTTTGACCCCCCCCATCCCCTAATTAATAAAACAGTAATAGATGTGTCATTAGTAAGTATCTCAGAGGATTATTGCTATGGGCAAAGAAGAGAATACAGAAAACTTATTTTTTTTTACATGACGGTTCTTAGCATTTGTGGTAGTTTGAGATGTCTCCATATTCTCAGACATTTAAATACTTGGTCCCTGATTGGTGTCACTGCTTGGGGAGACTTAGGAGGTGTAGCCCTCCTGAAGGAAGCTCACCTGAGGCTGACTCTAAGGTTTCAAAAGCCACATGCCATTCCCCGTTCACTCTTCCTGTTTCCTGCTAATGGTTCCAGATGTGAGCCCTCAGCTCTCAGCTTCCAGCTCTAGTCACCATGCCTGCTTGCTGCATTGCTTCCCTCCATGACTGTAATACACTCTTATTCATCTGGAACTGTAAACGCCCAATTTACCCTTTCTTCTATAAGTTGCCTTAGAGGGTTGAATGTGGTAGTGTACACCTTTAATCCCAGCACTTGGGGACAGAGGCAGGTGGTTGTCTGGGAGTTCAACCCTTGCCTGGTCTATATAGCAAGTGCCAGGCTATTAAAGGCTACACCAGTATAGCATGAATTTTAATTGGTTTTAATATTTAAGCCTGGAGTCCGATATTGGGGTAAATGCTGAAAGGTCAGAGACGTAAAGGAACCAGCCACTAGAGAGACGTCTTACCTCTACCTTACCTCTTAGCTCAAACAGAAGGGTTGAGTTCCTGTCTCCTCCCGTCTTATATTCCTCTCTCCACCCAGCCTTATCACTTCCTGTCTCCACTTCCTTAGTGCTGGGATTAAAGGCATGTGACTCCCAATTACTGGTATCAGTGGTTTGCTACCACTGCCTGGCCTCTATGGTTAACTTCTGATCTTTACGAAAGCTTTATTTGTTAGAGCACAAACAAAATATCACCACACAAAATGAGGCCATGCTTCAAAATGAATGACTGAATGAATGAATGAACGAATGAAGTTGCCTTGGCCATGGTGATACGTGTGTGTGTGTGTGTGTGTGTGTGTGTGTGTGTGTGTGTGTAAATATATGCAAGAAAAGCAGTTGTTAGAGACCCAGAGACTTTTGGGAAATAGCTTCGTCAAATCTTATCTTCAGAAGTTAGCAGTCCACCACCATGGACTCTCCTGTCTCAGAGCTAGTAAGACTTGTATATACACAATACTTTGGTGAACACAGTGAGAGACTGTGTAATCAAAATCTATTAATTTAAGCATTCAAGTTGGCACAAAAAATGTTCCATTATGTCCAATGTTTGAGGCCAGCACTAGAAGAAAGAATCATGGTAGGGGCTCAGAGGAAGGACAGATCGGTTCTGAGACAGAAGTTTCCTTTTCCATTTGTGAACTGCAATGGCAAAAAAGTTTTTGCAAACACATGGTGGGGCTGCTCTGTGATGTCATCAATTGATGTTTCCTTTCATTAACAAATGTACTAAGTTTTAGCACCTCCCTAAGTTGTATGCTTACATTCTTCTCTTTCAAATTCTTTTCCACTTGACAATTTGGGGTTGTTTTGTTTCCTTTGTTTTAGTTTCCATGGTCCTTGAGTAACAGTTTCCTTTATCTTAGGACTTTATCCCTGTAGGCTCTACAGTATTTATTTATGATTTTAGGATACAACATGATGCAACAGAGCTACCCAGTAATTAGAAAAGCTAACGCTGTCCTTATGAAACTTATGTACAGTGAATACATGCTAATAAAAATAAATTTAAAATAATAAAAGCCCAGATGACAACTGTTGGGGGACCTGAAACATGTGGTGTAAGTTAGCAAGCTGCAGCTGGTGAGACAGTGGTGGACTGACCAGCTGCACAAACCTCAAGGGAAAAGATGGCTTCTGGATGGTGTTTGCGGTGTAACATAGAGACACTTGCTTCCCACTGTGTCCCCTGCAGGCTGAGTGCCACTGAAGCAGATTGTCCAGCTCACTTGCTCCATAATCCACTGACAGGAATTAGTCCTGCACGGGGGCACTGACAGTAACTCTTTGGGAGTTACTCAGTACAGCTTTTTTTTTTTTCCCATTTTTCTTACATGTGTTGCAGTTAGACTCAAATAAACTGAGTGAAAAATAGGTCTAAAGTGACTCATGCTTCTGAGGAGTCAAAAGAAAAACCATCTAAGCTTTTGCTTCTGTTACACTCTACTCCACTGAATTAATTTTGAATTGGGACCAGAAGAGTAGTACTGCATTAAAAAGCCTCTTATTTGCTCTTTCTGAAAAAGCATGGGCCACTCTCCTGACTATGGTGTCTACCCTACTTCAGTCACAGCCAAAGAAACACTGAACAGGATTCCGTTAGACAGTGCTGTTTATGCTGCTCCATTGATTCCGTCTTTGGTGTAATTGTTCTCTTGGCTGATTTCAACTAAAGACGATGTGCTGTTTTCCCTCCTTTTATTAATTGGTAAAAACACAACACAGCAGATTGTCACAGCTCAAAACAGAATATTCCCCACACAGAAGACGTTCTAGCATCTGTGAGAAGCTCCTGGCCAGCTGCCTCCTTACCCAGCTGTCCTGGGTCACTCACCAGTTGGCTCACTGATTTCTCCTGTGGCACTTTCCTCTCATCGTCTGAAAGCAATTTCACTCTCTTAGTCTTTACTACCTATTTCTCCCCAGAACTTCTAGGCATCAGACTTCTCCAGGCCTGCCTCTGTCTCCAGCTGTCACTCTTGCTGCTGCTGGGTCCCCTCCACTAGACTCTCTGTCATCATCAGACCCAGTGGAAACTTGGCATTGAAATTTTAATTCTATCTTTAATTTGAAAGAAGCCGATAGTTCTTTACTTGGGACAACTCTGTGGGGCAACTAAATGAGCTTCCTCTTCCGTGGCCTCAGGGTTAAAGACACCGTCAGCCTGCTCTCCTGAAGCCTGTATTTCAGACATTCAACCTTCCCTTTGCCAAACACTCCAAAGCCATTTATTTCTTCAGCCTCATCAGTGCTTTTGACCTTTAACAACATTGTTCATAGGAATGTTACCTGGGAACAAGACAACCTACATAAGTGTTGTGGGGTAGGATTTGCTTAAATCAAAGGCTATGATACCACTCAGTATAGCCTTCAGCGAAGACACGCCTGATTAAAACCAGTGAGAACCAAGAACAGCAGACCACTCATGTTAGCTGCCTTCCATCCACAGAGGCACTGTGGGGCAGAGTCATGGCCCAGAACAACACCTAGGACAGGACTGACATCATTACTGTTAAGTTAGAGTCCAGGTTCAGCTGTTTCTTTGCAATGCATTTTTAGGACATGAATTCCCTAGTAGTCAGAACCTTCAGAGAGAGAGATAGAGAGAGAGAGAGAGAGAGAGAGAGAGAGAGAGAGAGAGAGAGAGAGAGAGAGAAAGAGGATAACCATGCCTTTCTTACCAACCCTTTGTGCCCACTAGATTACAGATGACTACAGCAGAGGCAAACTATTTTCTCTTCATCTGAGGTATATAGCTAAACTGAACTTTCCAGAGTCCTTTGCAACTAAGAATGGATATATAAACAAGTTCTAGCCAATGAAATCAGCCCTTATGTGCACCGTTTGCAGGCCCCCCACATAACCAAGTTCTAGCCAATGAAATCAGCCCTTATGTGCACCGTTTGCAGGCCCCAGAGGCCCTTTCCCTGTTAGCATATGACTGGAGAACTCAGCCAAAGGCCAAGAGTCCCAAATGGAAGGTGAAGCAAATATTTTTCACAAAACTGAAGCATAAACTTATTTGAGGGCTTGGCCATATTGATGATGGCATTCAGAAGGTCACATGTAAAACATACCTATAAAATAACAAGGTTATTTCTCAAAATAACATCCAAGTAAGTGCAGTTTCCTTCAAGAGTCCTCTGGAAGGCTATGGCAAAGCAACAATTGCATTCTTCTTTTAAGGAAATGTATTTATTTATTGGAGGTTATTTCCAGCATTTCATTCTTGCAAAGTGCTTTATATTTAGATCTTTGAATCACACAGACAGGGATACATGCATGTACACACATGCATAATTCCCAGACACTACCCAGCATGACCAGGGAACCATCATATTTATCATATTTATCAGAAATATACATTTAAACCAATTTCTTCATGAAACTCAGTTTGGTATGAACTCACTAGTAAGTGAGAAAATAAAGACAAACATACATTACACCCAACAAGTGGATTAATTTCCTTTTCATTTTGTCCTTGGGAGCCTCATGCAATACTTCATATTTCATAGATTTTTATAGCTGTTTCAGTGAACGCTTTTCTGGAACACTGAGTTCAGTTTAATCACTGAACTCCTGTAATCATTAGAAACAGATCCACAAATCAATTTATCACACTTGTTTAGTCAAAGAAAAATCAAAATACAAAAACATCTGTATGTCTCACCTCCCATCAAACCTGTGCTTCAGGAAATCAAAGAGGGCTTTCTGCATCATGTCTGTTACCTTTGCAGAGGTGAGAAAAAGAGAATGAGGCAAACACAGGGAGAGAGACAAAGGGAGAGAGAGACACACACACACAGAGAGAAGTCAATGGTGAGAGAGGTGGAGGGGAAGGGCACAGTGACTGAGGAGGGACCTCATCACATCCAGGCATCTCCAGGGAGTAGTACAGATGTTCTGAGGGGGCAGGTTTTCATGTTAATAAAACACAGTTGCCAATGTCTCCCTTGGTTCTTGTCTGGGGTGCTGAGGAATGAACCCATAGTTTTCACCAGGACCTCAGAGAAACCCTCCTCCTACTTCCCTTAGGATGTAGACCTGCCTCAAGGAGACAAGGGTGCTGGCTATCTTCACATGGTGGGGTTATGCTTGCCTCTAGCAATTAGCAGTGGGTAGTCCCAACCTTAGCTCTGGGCTCATCTACTCTGCCAACCTGAGCATGTTGGGAATTCTCCCTAGCTGGGACTTAATTTTTTTGTACATAATTTTTCTGCTCATCACCTGACATTTCCAACTCAGAGAGAGAAGAGAGAGATGAGAATCTTAGGTCTGCCTCAGAACAGTTGTTAGCTCTTTCAACAAATGTATACTAAATACCTCCTACCAGACATCATCCTAGGGGGAGGGACGGTTGGCCTGAAGGTTGCCCAGCTTCAGATTTAGATCCCACGCCCCACCTTTTGATCCATTCAAGCACAAAGTTAGAATGGCAAAATCTGAGATACCAGGCAGCATAGTCTTCACTCTTGTTTATTACATGGCAATGTCTAATTGCTCTCCAGAGTTTAATCTACTTTTTACTGGTTTCCCCCACCACCTGCCTTCACATACTATGAACTGCCTCCTACCACTTCCTGTCCGTAAATAGACCCTGAAGGGGCCGGATTCCAAAGGACAGTTCTTGGTCAAGAAAAGGTGAGTAACGGATGGTATTTGTACCTCATAACCTTTCAGAGATGGCCCCACTAACACCACAGGACGCATTGATGGCACGACATCGTAAGGAGGGATGTGCTCCGTCTGAAAAAGACCAGTCGACATGAGTGAGAAGGTGAGGCTGGGTCTGTCTCCTTCACAGCCACAACATCCAGAATTCTCAGGCTGGACAGGAAGTGACGACTAAGGGTCCCCACCGAGGAGGCCCATCCCTCACTTTATAGGTATGTGGGTCACAGAAATGGAGCATCGCAGGCATGTACAGATAGAAACCTCAGCAGGAGTTTAAAAAGGAAACACAACTTACCACTTTCTGCTTCTGTTTTGCTAAAAGACAACAATGAGAGCCACATCAAAATATGCAATCTCTGCAAATGACAGCACATGAGTTTAAAAGATGGGGGAAGGTGCCCTGTACCTGTCCTCCGTGCTTGCCCTGAACCCACACAGTGGATCACTGCCCTGCCACCTCACTCTGGACATGCTGCTTGTGAGAACATGAAATATGGACAACTTCCTCCCTGCACCAATGACTTTACACCACGATTTCCTCTGAGAGGCTGGGGCAGGTACTCAAACCACACTGGGCATTGTTAGATAACCACGAACTATGGGTGTAACCACAGTGGATGTGGTACATATGAAGCTGAGGGCAAGCTGGCTAAAGGAAATGTAATAAAAAGAAACCAATACACTGTGAGTAAAATTACTATCACTCAAACATTACTATTATTGTTGTTATTGGTATTGTTTTGTATTTGCGAGTTTGGTGAACCATAAGGTAATATGGCAGATCTTCAGGTATTTCTCCTGAATACTGATATATCTGTTTCTACTATGCTCCTCTTAACACTGGTGAGAGTGAAAAGGTGCTGCAGTGCCCCAGTGTCCAACAAGCATACAGAAGGCAGAACCTATTCCACAACCAATGAAGGTGGCTCTGCTGCCATCCAAACATCAGGTCCTGTCTATATGGAGTCACCTAAAGGGACAGGTTGGTTGGTTCCCAGCCCTAGAGGTCAGAATGAATCCTCACAAATAAGGACCAAGCCCTCAGAACTGTCCCAGAATCAACCCAGCATTGATATGAGTTGCAGAACTTTGGCCTGCTGTCTGTACTGGTGACACTGGATGCTCTGATACAGCCTCAGTTCCTGGCAAGAATGAAACTAGCTTGCAGGAGTTAGAGAATGTGATGGAAGAGAACCTTCTAGGAGATTATCTTCATTATATCCAAAGACACATAGAGTCTCCATTGAGATACCCTGGTTCTTCATTGCATTAACTCTAGTACTCAGCTGGAACTGTCTGATGTCCAAATATAAAGACAAGGTAGTCTTGGTTTCAGGGGGGCTAAAGCAACCCCCAATATGTACAACCTAGTCACAATGTACATACTGAACATTGTTGTGAGAATCCATGAGCTTTTATCTCTATGGGCCTCACAATCTTGAAGTATCTTGAGTTCTTGGGTATAATAATGAACTTGAGGTTGATTTATAAATGTAGAGTTACTGGCTATATAAGGGAGTGAATGAGATTTTTCAAAATTATACTCATGACCTGAATTTTTACATCGTTAGTACCTTTCAATTCAAACGAGCAAGGAAATCTTAAATAAAAGACACTTTAAATCTTAGGTCAAGCCTTTATTTCCAAACCACTACTAATGCTTGCATATGTGCTCAGATGTTTAGCAGCAAGACTGCTCACCTGTTGTTGTGGGGGTCGCTCGAAATGTTCCTGACACCATTTCACCCAAACTGGAGGAAGAGTTTCCACTCGATTTCCTAGACCATGGAAACAAACTTAAGACTCTCGCCCCAGATCCTTTGAAAACAGAAACTGAGAATCCAAGGTGTTCTTTGGCCTTCTACTAAATAATTCAAAACATACCAAAGCTTGTTAGAAGAGCTTCGGGAATCTGCTCAAATGATTTCGCTGACCTCATTTCTCAGAGAAAGTGGAGATCTAACTGAGACTTGGAAATGCTTGGCAAATTCTCTTTCCCTGTTATTTGTGCAAAAATTGGGCAGAAGGACCCCTGGCAAGGATGCAATGTGGAGATATGTGTTTACCTGAATTCAAGTACTGAAGTACCAGTCAGAGGCCAGACAGCTCAATACAAGCAAGAGGACCTGGAGAAATGCTTCTTAAGTGTATGGGGTCGGGGATGTCCCACAAACTTTTCCTGCTATCAACAGTAATGGGGCTATCAATAGTAAGTCATGTATGTTTATAGCCCAATGATGAGCAGTTCTGTCACTTACTGCCTGTGGAAAATACTGCAACACATCTTTGGGTGTTTGTTTTCCCCATCTATGGAAATAGGAGTTATCTATACCTTACAGAGAGAAGCTGACAAATTAGCTTCTGTGAATGAGCCCTTGGTATTATTGTTTCTCTTGCCTTGAAGTAAAAAAAAAAAAAAAAAGTGTGTGTGTGTGTGTATAATAGCGACAATGGTGGGAGATTATTGAGACACTTTTTAGTAGGAGACAATCAAGGCAAACAAGAGAAATAGGTAAAAATCTAATTTTTCTGAGAGTAGTAAGTATAATAGAAACAATTTATTTGGAAAGAGATGGAAATGCAGGGAAAGGGTGAGTCTGGAGTGGATACAACTTAAAATACAGTGGGGAAGGAAGGAGTCACTGGAACGGCAATAAGCACCTGAAGGAGATGGAGTGATCTGGTAACAGCAAAGGAGGAAGAGGTACCCAGTAGGAGGAAGGAAATGCAAAGGCCCCCTGGAAGGGCCAAGTGTTCCTGATGTGCTAAGAAGCATAGAGAATGAAATGTCTAGGGCAAAGGGAACCAAAGGATTAATAATAAAACACCCTAACAGAAGATTAATCATTAGAATGGTGCTTAACTATACCTCTATGATCTTCCATTACTATTGAAAGGTTTTCATTAGGGAAGACTTAAATAGCACAACATTTTTTTTTATTTAGAAAAATTAACTGGAAAGAGAGATTGAATAAAAGGAAAGAACTGCTTCAGTCAGACATGGCGATGCACAGTTGTGATCCAGCACTAGGGTGTGGGGCTGGTGCAGAAGAATTGCCTCACCAAAGGGAAGCCTGAACTACATAGCGAGATTGTCTCACAGCAATAACATTAGCAAAACTTGCTAACACATTTGAAATCTGTGCTTCAGGGCAGGTAGCAGTACCACTGAGACCCAATGCAGTCAGGACTTCTCTCAAACTGCTCACCCTCCTGGGACCTGCCACTTGCGCTCTGAAGTCTGTGTGCTGTTTCCTTTGACCATGGGAGGCTGGTACATTGCAGCTCCCCAGTGTCTTCAGCACAGTGTCAGCAGAAGATGACGGCACAAGAAACCAAGTAAAGAAAAGTGTGCCCAGGACTGTCCCGCACCATCACATTCTGAGTTTATTGGACACAGCTTTTGACAGAGAACCAAGCAAAACCACAACACTTGGTCATGTCAGCTGCTACCTGAGCTGTCTTGAGAAATGAGGCCCCATGTAACTCTCACAGAAGAAAACTAGGGTTTGCAGATAGGTTTTCTGAGCCCACAGGAAGCAGCTGCCACTGTGGAATTCATGTGAATTTCTGAGTTGCTGGAGTTCAGAACACAATGGAACCCCAAACCTTTGTGTCCTCCTCAAGAACAGTATGTGTGCAGTTAAGTGTCCCTTTGCTTTAAAAGTAGGCTCTCATTGGGGTGAAGGCAAAGAGAGTCTTCAAGAGCATGTTTCCAAGATAAAATAGAATCCAGCTGAAAACAGAGGTTAAGTTAAAAGAATGAACTGCTTCAGCCAGTTTTTAATAAGAAACTTGAAATTTTACCCACAAAATAAAGTAAGGAAGAAGGGAGGGAGGGGGGCAAAAGGGGGAGGGAGGGAAGAAAAAAAGGCTAGCTCATGAAGAAGATGGGATGTTACCCGCCATGGAATCGGCCTCTTTTCTGTTCTTGCTGAATACGTATGTTCTCCAACCGAAGAGGACTTGGGATGAAGCCAATCTCGCAGCCCTCTTTCACCAGCCTTCCTATCCACCAATCATTGTTATATTTCTGAAAGCAGAGAGGAAAGCTGCTATCAATAGTAATTCAGTTAACCTCACGTCTCAGTGTTTATTTCAGGGAAGCAGAGGGATCAAATGCTAGTCACCTGATGTACGAAGCCACATTACACATACAGTGCATAGAAACCACCAACACCGTGCTTTTGTATTTTGTAGGAAATGTTTTCAGTTGATAGACTAAAGGAAGATTCTTCAGGGGTCTTATTTGCAATGGCCTGAATGGTAAATATGATCTCTACTGTAACTCGTGGATTCTGCTGTCCTACTATCACAAAGACTCAAGAGCATGGTTGTGTTTCAATGTAAGTGAGCTAACAGTCTGTCAGCACAGTCTTACTCAGATTATCAGCAAAATCACATTGGCAATTATTGATTTACTGAGTCCCAGGGCAGATGTCAGTTTAGTCTAAGCCATCTGCCTCAAGAGAATGTTTCTACTGGTAATTTCTAGAAAATAGATAGAAATCATATTGTTTAAGCCTTCCAGGAATGAGTACAAAGGTGCCTTCATGGTCTTTATCAGCATTGACAAGAAACTCTTTTCCTCTGTGTGTGTGTGTGTGTGTGTGTGTGTGTGTGTGTGTGTGTGTGTGTGTGTGTGATGTAACATACCAACTCTAGGATTAGCACAGAGGAAAGTGGAATTTACATTAACTCTAATACTGACATTGTAACAAGGAAGAACGAAAGCTTCATTGAATCATCACGGCATGAAATTCTAAGTAATTCGGATAATCCCAAGTAACCTTCTCATATTCAGCCCTTTCTGCACAGAGCCCCTGCAGAAGCCAACCTTTGTGCCCATCTTGAGACTGAGCTGAAAGGAGCATGAGTTGATGTGACAGAGAGACTCCAACAATCTGACTCTTAGTTTCCTGTCTTTAATTCAGGATAATACACCTGAAATAACAGTCCTGCTTATTTTGTAATTAAGAAAAGGCAAGTGGACCCTTTTGGACACTTTGGTGCGTAGGTTTGGAGTTTACATTTTACTGTGACAGGGACAACAGACTATGAATCAGAGTTTCCTAGGGCTTCAGTTATTTCCTGAAATTAAGTCAGCCTACTGGGGCACTAATTTGTTAAGTTGTACCCCGGTGAACTTAAGGGCTGCTGCCTAAGATGGCTAATTCGACTTCCCAAAGGGGTTTACTGTGGTTCTAAGAAACAGCTATGGAACACCGAGCCTCTGACTCAATGTGAGTGACAGTTCTCTGGCCACTGGGGAGTGAGGTGCTGTGCAAAGTCATGAGCTTCAGTTCTCTCTGTTTGACTTTGGAACAAGCACCATTGTGTCTTTTCTTGACCTTTAAGCCTTTCCATTATTGAGAAAACAGAAAGTGTGCTGGTACCTGAGAGACGGCATAAAAGGAAGAAGTCGGCCCATTAGGAAGCATGTCCGTCCATGTTGCTGGTGTCCCAGGGGTTGAGCCCCCTTTCGGGAAAGGCCCCCTTAGCACCATCCCACCCTTCCTCATTTTGCCTTTGATTTCCCCAAAGTGATTAGTATGTTCTCTTTCTAAGATGCTTTTTATTTTATCTGCAAGACTTGAAAACAAGGAGCTCTGATCCGCATACGATTACTAGATCAGTAATGACACTACAAAAGAAAAAGGAGCTGCCAGACTGAAGGAAAACCCCTTGATCAAGAGCTACAGACCCTAAAGCTACCAGCAAGACACATCAAATACTGTCAGGGCAATCTGAAGGTGCCACACACAAAGTAACTAAATGGAGATGCAAGCATTAGTTACCCCGATTTGGCTGTGTGGATTGCATACATGTTTCAAAATGCCACACTCTACCTCAGAAAACTTTGTTTTTTTAAGTTTAAAGAGCTGGAAGTGTTAACCATTCTGATTTCATTGTGACCTATTATATGTATCGAACGATCACATATGTCCAGTAAAAATAAGTATTAATAAAAACTAGAAGACTAATGCAATGCTCAAAGTAATAAAATACTGCAAAGTTGGAATGTCACTGTCATAAGCACATGAGAATGTCCCTCTTTCTTAAAGGCTGCTTCTCCTTGAAAATGATGAGTGCTGGCAACTCATGAATATGGCATGGTTGCTTTCGGTAGAAATAATGACACAGATTCAACCACTCGGATGCTGAAGGGGTCACAGTCCCCCAGACACAATGTGCCCAAACATAAATTCATGGCCATGTCCACTGCTGCAACATTTGGCCCCTCTGCCTTCTCTGTTTCAAAAGCTGAATCTAGAGGTTTATCCTACTTCCTGTAATTCCAAGAGACTTGAAAAGCTGGCTACCATCCCTTATTCCCCCCCACCCTCTCTCTACTATACGCTGTGGAGTGAGACCCCACATTCCCAGCTGACTGCCTTCCTTTATTTCTCTCTCCCTCGCTTTCTCTACAACATGCAGAGGAGTGAGACCCCCAGTTCCGCTTTGCCCATCACAGCTCCTATTCCCAATACAAGGCTGGTCACACGTCTGCTTTATTCCAAATCCCTTTGCAGCCCACTGGCAACACCAGTCTTCTTGCTCTGGCTAAGGGGAACCTTTTAAAATCTTTGGGCTGGAAATAACAGCTCAGCTATAGTGTTTACCTCGTGTACATATAGCCTGAATTCAATTCCAGCACAGCCAAAAGAAAACCTTTATCTCTTGAATCGCTGGCACGGCTTCTTCTCTGTTTCACTACTGCCCTCTGGCCATGCTGCAATGCTTCTGGCTGACCTTTCCCTGATGCACTCTGTGCCCAATTCTGACTCTTCTTCCATACTGATGTTTCCTCTCTCTGTAAACTTCCAGGACACTGATCCATTTTATTTTTTCTGTTTGATATTTTTTATTTAAACTAGAAACAATCATATTTTACATATCATTCCCAGTTCCTTCTCCCTCCCATCCTCCCATACCTCCCACCAACTCCCCACCCCTGTCCCACTCCCTATCCACTCCCCAGGGAGAGTGGGGTCTTCCATGGGAGATTATCAAAGTCCGTCTCATCATTTGGGGCAGGGCCTAAGCCCTTCTCTGTGTATCTAGGCTGAGAGAGTATCCCTCCATGGAGGAATGGGCTCCCAAAGTCCATTCATGCACTGGGAATAAATACTGGTTCCACTGCAAGAGCCCCCATAGACTGCCTAGGCCTCCTACCTGTCACCCAAGTTCAGAGGCCTGGTTTGGTCCTATGTTGGTTCCCCTAGACTCAGAGTTCCTCATCCACAGCATCACTGTTGCTGTGCCTCATCCTCTGGTGCTGAGCACAATGCCTGATACCAAACAGAACTGTACCTAGGCTGAATACAAGTTAAGCTTCTGCTGTCACTATTTTGTTCTTAGACCTTTCTATATGTGAGGCCCCATGTCCTCCTTACACGGCTCAACCCCTAAAGCTCTCTGTTTCCTAGAGTTCTCTGCCCCCTTCTTAGCTTTAACAATTTATGACCACATTTCATAGTGTCTATCATGATAGTATCCCTCTGTAAAAAGTCCCTCTTGGATCCTGCTTTGCTATGAAATGCATGCTTCCCTAAGTTACATCCATAGATCCATGGGTCTATAGTCCCACAGATGGGCTGACTGTGTAGCATACACTAGACACTGGATTTGTTTCCCAACATACACACACACACACACACACACACACACACACACACACAGAGAGAGAGAGAGAGAGAGAGAGAGAGAGAGAGAGAGAGGGAGGGAGGGAGGGAGGGAGAGAGAGGAAGGGAGAAAGAGAGAGAAAGAGAGAGAGAGAGAGAGAGAGAGAGAGAGAGCAAAATCCAGAACCCATTGTAACATTTCAAATGTTGAGTGTGCTCCAGTGTTGGAAGCATGTGCCAATGCTCAGCTTGGAAATCTCAGTGAGGTAAAAGGATGCAGGGCCCTGGAGCATTAACTGAGGCTCCACACAGGCAGCTCCTTGGGTCTCCTCTCCTGTGGTTTGGCTCAGGCTGATTCTCAGCTGTAACTTTTTGGCAGATGAAGGGGTGCAGTATGTCCTACATTTACCTCTTTAATGTGAAGAAAGTCCTTGGCGTCAAAGGAGATGGCTGTGCTGGGAACGGGCACATCCTCATCCAGGGCACCACAGTAGCTCACATTCGTTTTCACAGCAAATGCTACAGGTTTGGACTAGAGACAGAAGTGCAGAACGAGGAGGGAGGGAGAGGGGAGGAGAGAGAAGCATTTTTCATATTGAAACATGTCACAGGATGAATGATGGTTCCAGGCAATGAGGAAATCACTTTCCAAAGAGGGATCTCCGCTGGGTTTTATAGTGGCAGGCCACATCCAGAAATCTGCAGAGATGACTGGGAATGACTCATTCCTCTCAGCCTAGCCATTTCCCTTCTGTGGTACTTTCCAACATCCCCAATAAAGAACTAGTCCCTAAAGGACTGGGGGGGGGTGGACAGAGGTGGGGGCCGTCTGCTTTGTTCTTCACTGTTAACTATTTATTTGCTTTAAACGATAACAGATACTCTCCCACCTCTGAGATACACGGCATGCATACTGGGGCACAGGGAGCACTAGGAAGACAGCTCAGGGGATGAAGTGCTTGCTGCACAAGAACAAGGAACTGAATTCAGATCCCTAGCATCTGTGACAAAAGCTGGGTGCAAGGTGTGTGTGCATCTTTAATCTCAGTGCTAGAGAGGCAGGGGCAAGCAGATTCCCGGGCTTGCTGGCCAGTCAGTCCAGCCAAATGGAGAACTCCATCTTCAATAAGAGACCTGTCTCAATATTAAGTTAGAGAGTAATTAGGGAAACACATTAACCTCTGACTGCCACACACATGTACATAATCATGCATATGCACCCTCCTGAGTACACACACATGAACAGGTCCATACATTACAAGATAAACATATGCTAAGAAATATACACTGGGTGTTAAAAACTTGAGGAGTGGGGGAAAATAAGGTGTTTTGACAGAGCCTCTGATATGAAAACCTGAGATCTTTTGCAGCTGCATCTCTTGCCAGAGAAACGGGGGCCAGGGTGGGTTAAACCTAACAAGCAGGCTCTTCATCTTTTATCTTCCTGGCTTCTAACGATTGGTTTTAAAACTTGTATATAAACACCTGCTGGCCAAGTGCTCCTGAGCAGGTGCAGCCTGTGGGGGCTAAGCCAGCCACAAGCCTAGGCTATGGTCCTGCCACCACCATTTAGGTGATCACACAGTCATGAAACAGATGGTGAAGGACTTTTTCAAAACAAGAACTAGCAGCAAGGTCTCTAAGCTTCTGGGCAGCTTTGCTATAGATTTATTTATTTGCATTGGGAATGTCAACAGTTGAAGTAGGGACCCAAATTCGACCCTCTTTGGTTCCCTCCCAGGCACTATGCAGCTGCCCTTCTTTCGGAAAGCACCACAGAGAGTGTGTGGAAGCCGATGCCTCATTCATCTGCATCATTGTTTTCTTGCTTCAGTCTCCAAAAGATTTCATCATAAAATAAAAAAAGAAGGAAATTAACTTCATTTGGGTTTGAGTCTAGAAGTCAGAAAGATACCTGCCATAGGAGCTGGCTATGGAAGCAAGACAACAGGCTAGCCATGAACGCTGTTTTATATGTTGTTACTGTACATGAAAATTCATTTGAAAAAAGGTCTGTGCTATAAAAAAATAAGTTAGACATAGGTAGGATGGGAGAACTCTAACAACTCATCTGAGCCTAAAAATCCACCCTTGCTGCCCCTGTGTCTGCTGGAAGAGGAGCAGAAGTCCATTTTGACTGGTAATGGCTTCTGTCTTTGCTGCTCTTATTTGAGTTGTTCAAAGTTCTTAACCAGGTCTGATGGTGTATGTCGGTAGGCCATGTATTAAGCCCACAAGTTCAAGACCAGAGTGGGCAATGCAGTGGACCCCATCTCACACAAGCAAGCAAACAAAGTGATGTTCTGAACTTTATACTGAACTTGAGGTGAGAATCTGAAATCTAGGATCCAAAGAATAGAGGAAGCAGTGAAAGGATCCATAGCACAATGGTGACTGTTCGCTGTATAACAAAGAGTAGGTTAGGTAGTGACGGGAGGGGTCGAGGACAGAGGACTCAAGCTAGCAGTAGCTCAGAGGCTCTTTGCCAGTACTGGGTGAGGTCAGCTTGATATTGCCACACTGCTAGGTTGGGAAATGACTGAGAATTACCACTAACTCAAACAGAAAAAGGCAAAGGTTCACAGGAAATGGGCGTCTGCAGATCCCACTAACCTCTGTGAGGGGAACATACAACAGAGAATCAAGCAATCTGAAACCTTATCAGGATGGCTGGAAAACAAATACTCCAAAGAGACACCATGCTGGATACTTTTATATCGTTTATGTCAAGTTATAAAAAGAGGGAATGTCATTTGTAAAAATGCTCCTACCAAATTAGCCTCTAGGCAAGCCTGTGGAAATTTTTCCTGGTTAATGAGTGATTAATGTAAAAGGGCTCAGCCCACTGTGGCAGTCTCACCCCTAGGCAGATGGTCCTGGATGGTATCAGAAAATAGGCTAAGCAAGCCACAGAGAGCAAGCCAGTAAGCAGAATTCCTCCATATCTTCAGTTCCTGCCTTCAGGTTCTTGCCCTGAGTTCCTACAATTTTCCCTCAGTGCTTATCACCAGAGAGTTGTGAGCTGATGAGTTAACCCTTTCTTCTCCACATTGCTTTTGGTCAGTGTTTATCAGAAACCCTAAAACAGATGTGAGGTAGGATGCTGAACACAGGTGCAGAGCGGTGTGCCAGTTTTCAACAAAAGAAGGAGTGAGAAAGTCACCTTTGCTCTCTCAAGCTGGATAGCTGCTTGCTGTTCTCTCTCTTGTCGAATCGCTTCCCGGTCCTCTTCCAGGGAGACATCGGAATCCGACGGCCTGCTTGTATAGGAATCTGCTGAACCCTGGGGAAAGAACACGGAAGGCTTATGTGAGGTGAAGTGTATCTTCTTACATTATCACTGTTATAACAGAATCCTGGCAAGTGAGTTCCTTTCATTGGCATAGAATTCGATGCACACCCACAGCGTTACTGCAGACATAGCCAAGCATCTCTGCTGTGCAGAACGTAGCAAGGTTATGAAGGGAAATATGTTGACTAGATTAGTATTAGGAAGGAAACTGCAATGAGAACAACATGATAATTATTCATGTAAATGAAGTTGTCTCCTATTCTCTCTTGCATATACTATGCAGCTAAGTGACAAGGGGAAACTTAGGCTGTTTATAAGGACTAAATCTTACCTGTGTCTTGATGCCATCAATTTGTCTAGACCTCAGCACAGCCATTCTACATTGGTAAAGTGATATTCTACTTTTAACTCTTTTATCATCAAAAATTCAAATATTGTTCTACAGCAGGCTAATGTGTACACTGAACAGAAAACACTCTGAGAATAAAAACATGAATGTCCAAAACCAAAGTCCATACCCAGGGTGCTCTCTGATCAGCAGTACCACCAGTCTGCCTGACATCCCCAAAGGACTGGGATGATCTGATTTAAAAGTTATTCACTTTGCCACACAAAACAAAATAAAACAAACTAACGCCCCAACAACAACCCCCCTACAATCCAACTGTGAAGACTTGCCTTCATCTCCAAAAGGAACATCAACCCACCATTTCCTTAAGCTGGCATCAGAAGCTGGTATTTGCATATATGATGACATTTGCACAGCAGAGGTACTGAGAAAACTGGTCATTTGTTTGGCATGTTTGATAAAACACACTCAGACAGTTTTGAAAACCATAGATCTAGCCACTCAATGGAGAGTTTGCTATCTACTACACACATGCAAAAACAAAATAAAATAAGACAAGAGACAGGCTAGTGGCCCAGGTATGTAATCCCAGGCCTGCCTGGGCTACACAGTGCATTCAAAGCAGCTTGAATAACTTAGTAAGATCCTGTCTCAAAATAAGAAGTAAAATAAAAGGCTGGGGTTATCCATTCCCAGTCATAGTCAGTTTCTCTTCCTCTCTCTGACCCCCCGCCCCAGAACATATATCCTTGCATCCTAAAACAAGGACTCATTGCTAGATGTCATGGGACACTTGTACTCTGTGTAAAAATGTATTACACACACACACACACACACACACACACACACACACAGAGAGAGAGAGAGAGAGAGAGAGAGAGAGAGAGAGAGAGAGAGAGAGAGAGAGAGAGAGAGAGAGAGAGAGAGAGAGAGAGAGAGAGAGAGAGAGAGAGAGAGAGAGAGAGAGAGAGAGAGAGAGAGGATAAATAGATAGATAGACAGACAGACAGACAGACAGACAGATAGCTTTAAGAAATGGTAAATTGGGTAGGTGAGGTGGTTTAATGGATAAGGCGCTTGCTGCCAAGCTGGATAGTCCAAGTTTGATCCCCAGAACCCACATGGAGAAAAAGAGAATCAACTCCAGCAAGTTGTCCTCTGATCTCTATACGCATGCAGTGGTATAAGCCCTCTCCACAAAACAAACAAACAAAAACAATAAAAGAAAGAAATGGCAAATAGTTGCCCATTAGTCCCCTGAGACATTTTTCAAAACCTAGAGACAGCTATATGAATTTGCTGCCTGTCTACAGGGGCAGCTTTGTTTCTCAGCAAAGAGTATCATTTTAGCCCTCCGGGAAATCCCAGAACATATATCCTTGCATCCTAAAACAAGGACTCATTGCTAGATGTCATGAGACACTTGTACTCTGTGTAAAGATGTATTACAGTGACTGGTATGATAAAAAGCTGGATGGCCAATAGCTAGGCATGAGGTATAGGCAGGACTTCCCAGGACAGAAAGGAAAAGGAGAAGGAATCTAGGCATGCAGGAGAAGAAATAGGAAGTGCAAAATGGAAGAGAGGTAATGTCACATGATAGAATGTAGATTAATATAAATGGGTTAATTTAAGTTATAAGAGCCGGTGGGACAAGCCTAAGCTAAAGGTCAAGCTTTCATAATTAATAATAAGTCTCCATGTTGTTGTAAGCTGATGGCCGACAAAAAAAGCTTACTACAAATGGCGTCCAAAGTGTGGCATGTAAATCCACATAGGGCCTTAGAAAGCTGAAAGAAAAAAAAAAGTTTCTAGTAAGCTCTGAGCTTGTGGCATGCGCAGGTACAACACCTTTTAGGAGGCCCTGCTACTGAGCACTTGAATAGGGTTTACCGATGACATGCTACTCAATGGGAGTGGTGGGAGACTAGGTAGAAATGCCTACTGGAGCTGGTGAAAATAAACTGGCTCCCCACCCAACTGCAGGCATGAGGCTCC